AGCTTCCGTTCTCCTCTCCCCAAGTAAAAGCGCTCTGCCGAGCATGCATATCCTACCTGATGACATGGGAATGTTGTATTTGTCTGAATGTCGCCTTCGAATGGCTCCCACATTGGGCACACTGGCAGGGGTGATTACTGAGGGTCCCTGGGTAATCGGGGTGACTGGGGCCGTTGGTGTGGTAGGGGTTTGAGGTAAGCTCTGTGGGGATGTCTCCAACATGTTCTTCGACATGGTGACACTAGACACCAGATTTAGCTGCAAAGGCCCAAGAGATGGGCAGGAAAAAGGTAGAGACAAGAGAAAAAGACTTAAAAAGGTTTGACAAATGAGAGTGGATTCACTTCTACAGCTGTGTTGCCACTAATAAGCTGCAAAATGAAGCAGCCAATCTCAGCTAATTACAGGATGAAATTGTATCATAAGAACTCTAATTAGAGGATGCTGTTAGAGGTTATCTAATAATCTCTGGCAATGTTACTTAGGACTAACTCCTTCTGGCCCTGCCAGACTTCAGGGGAAGTACATTTTCTTAAATAAAAGCCAGTTGGCGCTCACCGACTGCCCCTGTTGTTAACCAGGCCTAGCCCCCCAGTGAAGCAACAACAGCAGCAAGAACGAAGGATGCGATGTTTCCAGCCAATTGGATTCAAAATAAGTTGCCATTCTGTTGCTGCCGGATTTTTTTTTTTTTTTTCTCCCCTCCCTAGTCCCAAATCTCAGCTGAGAGGCTCCAGTCAGCTGGAAAATTTTACACTGACCTTTAGTCTCCTTGCTAATTTGGTGGAATGGTAATGACATTACTACATATTCAAACAAAATTGTCTTAATTGCAAATTAGCCGGAGGAGGCTGAAAATTTTCAAATTAAATCTGATTGGAGATGGAGAGAGGGAAATGGAATTTCCTCACTAACAATCATTTGTGGCATGTGTTAACAAATATAATGAAATGTCAAGTTTGCCAATTCCTCTGGAAGTATCATTTTCAATTTATGATTACAGTGTCACTTAAGGCTGATGTACCCTGGAAAGTGGGTGTCAGGGTAGAAAAAAGGAAAAAAGGTGAGAATGTATGCGAGCTGTTTAGCGGTGTGCCCTTCATCACGCCCCTCAGAAAAGCCCTCCTCTTCGGGATCAAAAACCCCGTATCATCTCTGTCATATTTACCACACACCTTGGTCATAAATAGCATCCAATTAGCAAAAAAAAAAAAAAAAAATTTTTTTATGTAGGGCAGCACATAAAAAGATTTCTGCCATACAGTCAGATGATATGCATAAGAGGTAATCTACTGACCTTTCATTTTGTGCAGTAATCTATGCAACCAAGCAAGAAAACTAGTTGTAATTGTTCTGCTGCTCTCTGAAGTCACTGCTTAGTGGCTACACGAAGAATATTCGGCTTTTATATGTAATTTAGCAACACCTGCCTTTTTCAAATCCCACATACGCTTCTTAAGATAAACCTTTTCTTAATGGGGAGAAAATGATGTGTACAGCATTGATTGATCTTTCTTTGTGGATTTGTTTTACACATTTAGTCAGGAGAGAGATTTGTTAGGGAAACAAAAATTAACATATGCCAGCTAATTGTTCTTCCTTCTTGGGCCGCAGCCAGGAGAAGCACATTAGCAGTCTAATAATAACGACTGGCACCCCCAAGGCATCCCCAGTGCATCTGTTCCCAATAAACCACAAACTGTTATTCTGCTCGCACTCCGAGCCAGCAGCCCGGGCCGGGGATTCTCTGTGACATACATAAATAAAAGCTGAGACAAGGCTACTAAATGCTGCGTTTACTACGTTTACTACACACTCAAACAACATCGTCTTCATTGCACAAAAGCCAATGGTGTAAGCGTCCTTGGGATGTGCAAAAATACCTCTAGTCTGAGAAATGCAGGAAGATGCACTGGAATCCATGTGTACAATGCTGCAGATGATGTTTTATTTATTTATTTATTTATTTTTCAAATCAACACCCGAATGTCTAATTAGTCGTGATTTAGATCTGATCGGCAGCATTGCATAACTGCATGTTAAAATTAGAAAAACAAAGCTCTTCTCCCTACTCAACGAACTCAGTTAAATGGTTGCACAGACACTTTTGGAAATCATAAACCAGAATAAAATGTCATATTCTGAGGCCAGGAAAAAAAAAATGCCAACATTGCAAATCAAGGGAAGATCTATCCTGATGAATACCTGACAGGACACCGAACGTCTCGTGGACATGGTAAAAGTTGTGAAAACAGGAGACGTACATCCTTTTCCTATGCAAACTACTCGTGTTTACACTGTTACGGCAGCTTATCCTGCCGTCCTGCAGTAATAAGCATACCGTGTTTGGAAGTGTGCAATCACAAACTGATAAAATAGAATTTATTACTAACGAAAAGGAAGCATGTAAAAGCCGGGATCAGCACTTAGCCACATCAGCTCATCAGAATATAGTCAAGGTTGGGTGAAACTCATTATTCAGGACTCGCAGCCTTGATAACTTTGATTTTCATCCATCCATAGCATGGCCAAAAGGTACCATTTAATGAAGTACCATTCAGGGAGTAAATGGGGTCATATAATAGACAGTGCGCTTGCACCTTGTGTTCATGTACTGATAGCTGTTAAGGGTGCCGTGATGAACCAACAGAGCTCATTTCTCTTTGGTAATAAATTCTTGCTATTAATATTTATCAAATGTGTGGGCCGTCTCAACTGAGCCACGGCACATGAGACCATAAATATCTACTATTATATCAATTTTGAAGCTCCTTTTGTACAGTGTGTAAACTTTAGGGTATTTTTAAGGGTGTGTGTATTGACCACTCTTCTTTGAAACCAATCGGAGGCCAGCAGTGCATTTTGCTCGCCTCAGATATCGCCAGTTCCAAAGGGAACTTTAAACTGTGGTTTCATTTTAAATCGCTCATCTAAGATTCTATATTAATTGCCCACCATCAAACGCAATTAGCAATTCTTTCATGTGTGGTTTATGTAATGTAATACTTCAATTACATTATTCATTCAGGTTCTGTTGTGGATTATAGGCTGAAAATTCTTTATTAGTGTAGATGTAACCATGCTGCTAGAGTTTTTAAAAATTTACTGATTGAATAATTAATTGGAAAAGAACAAGCTGCAGATTCCTGATGGATTTATGAGACAATTATTCTGTTTTGTGATTATCTACATTATACTATAGAAGCAATGGGGGGGAGGGGAAACCTTATGGAAAAAAATCGTAAATAAAGGTTCAAAAAGATCTTCAAAAGTTTATTTTTTTAATTAGAAACTTAGCCATTCTAGAGTTTAAAAAAGTAATATGTCTGATTCAAATGATACATTTCTCCTTTCTTTCTATTAAAATGTGTTTGCAGTATCTTACACTTAAATGTAGCAAAGACAAAAACTCTAATACCTTAGCACAGTTTAAGGAAACATGTTCCGTATGCAAAAAAGTGAATGTTGAGTAATATCAATGAGTGATGTCAGAGATACTAGGAAAAACTCGTAGAGTGTAGTCTGTCTTTTATCTTCCCTCCTACTACAAAACCAAATGATTTTTTTTTTCTGAAGAAATGGAGGAGTCAAAACTGGTATCACTAAGCATCAGGCTATACAGGAGACTTATTAAAGTCCCCACACTTTCATTAAACCAGTTAGTCACCCAGCTGATTACTTTAAGTTTCTGAGCAAACATTTGCAGAGTGAGGTAAAGTATACTGTATATTTGACAACATTATCAGGTTGTGCTCCAATTTTATATATATATTTCTTGAGGGAAACTGCAGTTATTTTGTTCTATAATCACCCATTTTCCTTTGCCATAAGAATTAACTATATGTGTTCTATCTAGTAAAACACATTAATATGTGAAAGACAACTTAGCTGAAATAACCACCAAAGAAATGGGAGGAAATTGACTCTGAAAATACTAGGACATTTTGGAGAAGATATTTGATTTAAAAAAACCTATTTGTATGTATGTTAGCATTGATGGAAGCCCTCCTCAGCATGCCACACACCTTTCTAAGTGTGATTTGTACTGCCCCTGCTCTTCAGGGTGCTCAAAGTGGGCTTCCTGTTAATATCTGTAAACCTATCACAGAAAGATACCCTCTCGCTTCAGCACCAAGGCAGTGATTTGCGCACTGATAGGTGTACTTTGTTTGGCGTCACCCATGGAGCAGATTGGATGGATTTTGTAAAAGATAGCATTACTTTCAAAGAAACATACAATTTGACAAGCAATTGCATTTTGCTTTCGTTCTATTGCCATATTGCCCATCCCTCTCGTTGTTGTCTAGCTGTCACTGAATTGTTCATTTTCCCACTCGGCTAGCCCGGGAGAGCTATTTACTGTTTATGGAGCAATATGCACTCACCGGTTTGGGAGACGGTTTGGGCTCTGAGGGCCGCATGTGCAAGTGGGTCATCATCGCTTGGAGACGTTCTCGTTCCTTAGAAAGCTGTTAAGAACGAGCGAGATCAGAAGCATTTTAGAAATGACTGATACAGCTATTTTATCGCGGCGATCCATCTCATCATTGAGCCTGTCTGGGAGTAATGATTCCTGCATATAAAAGTCTGTGTCCTAGGAACTTAGCTGGGAGGAAACGCAACTTTAGCTAGGAATGGGGGCTTGGATAGCTTTCCTTATGTTAAAAGGTCAGAGAAAACAAATAACACTTCATCTTTTTGTCAATAAGAGAATTGAGGTCACCCCTGTCCTGACAGACACAAGTTACTAAAACCATAAATTAGAGGGCTCTTGGTGCCTCTTTAAAGTCCTGTGGACACTGTTAGTGATGGGCCGGTGCCAACAGCCATGAAGGGGTGAAGGGTTCTCAAAGCCGAGCGCCTGCCAGGGTTGTCTCGGCACTTCACGCATCCCCACTGAGGTCCAGTTAGTGCCCCTCCAATCTGCCATCATCAATCTAACCCGATGGAGTGACAGGGACCAGGCGGTGTGAGACGCTGAACTCTGCCACCGAGTCGGCTTCCATCCTTGCACTGGGTCTCATTACAAGTGACGGACCTTACTTTCCCATCCGTCAGGCCCAGGAGAGAAGAAAGGAAAAGAAAAGAAGAAGAAGAAAAAAAAGACATAATTGGTCACCCTGCAGACCGTGTCTTCATCAGCTGAACTTTTATGCTTTACTCCACCTTGGATCGGTGGTAAAGAGGTCTGCAGAAAGTTTTCTAGAAGGACATCACTGATTATGCAAGTTGTGCGTCCTTGATTATTTTACAAGTCAAAATAAACATTTTTAACAGCTCTCTGGAGAATAGCTAACAGTGTAATGGGTTTACAACTCATCAAGATGTAGTAAAGTATGAAGAAAAGTATAAACTGTATGTTTAATCCAATGACACAAAGTATGGGTCTGATTGAGAAAAAAGAAAAAAAACACGTTTAAGTTGAAACACTGGAAGAGGCCTTGAAGGGCAGGACAAGTGCAGTGAGAATGAAACAGTGATGTAACTGCTTCTGACCTGTTTTATGAGTCCTATTTATTTTTGGCTGAATGCTGTTTCAATGTTAACTAAACTGTTTTAACTTCAATTAGCAGCACTTGATAGAATACATTACTATCTGTGATATTATAAATTATTTGCAGTCATAACTCCAATACAGACAAGTCTTAAAATTGTTTGCAAGTTCTTCAATTAAAAATACACCAAAGATAGAAAAGGAGAAGGTTTTTCTCAGAGTAATATGCTACAAGCATGATGGTATAAAGATTTTTGTTGTACAATACAATACAATCTAATGGGGGAGGGGGGAATCATGATTAGTTTATGTAAAACTGTCTCTGCAATAAAATCATATCCAATTTGGGGGGAGTTGGGTATAACCACAGTTGGAGAAAACTGAGATTTGACTCCTTTTGGATCCTATATATTACAAATATAGATAATGTAATATATAGGTTATATGTCTACGTGGTAAGTACATTAAGCGATATCCACCCATCCCGAGTTATCAATTGCTGCCATCATTATAAAGAATCTAAAATTCCATGTGCTGCTATTAGGCTTTGTGTTAAAAGACTCAGAATGTGCCCAGGACTCAGTGTGACCCAGCAGAAACATGAGAGAGGAGCCCAGGACATTGGCATCGGACAAACCTGTATCTCTAGCTGCTGGACCACCTGCATTTGCACTCGGCACTGCGCCGTGCTCCGGTCATCCAGTGCGTGCTCATTGTTAAGGTGCCTAAACAAACACAAGACACGAAACAGAGAGTTAGACAATGTGTGTCTCTGTAGCATCTGCTCCACTTCGAAAGCACTGCCTTGAAGTTCCATTTCCCTGCACAGTAGGAAAAAAGGAACATCTTGAAACTATACCAACAAAAGTTTCTTGAAATGAGTAATGAAGAAAATATATATGGAGTGATATATATATATGTGCAACATATTAATATAAGAATTGAGATGGCGTTTCTGAGAAAGAACTAATTTATGAACAAGTAGATGCATTTGTTAGTAGATCTGGGTTCAGCAGTTGGAAACCTTTGTTCTATTCTGCCCCTTCCTTTGAAAAATTAAACCCATTTGTTTTAACACATCCTCACTGGTGGTCACAACAGACTTGCATGTGTCTTGTCACAATCACCATTCCTGGTTGAAGGGAAACTGTGGGCTAAAAGAGTGAGGGGCATCAGGTCAAGTCTGAGGTGGGGGTTTGGCCGCAGGAGCGGCCCCTCCACTGTCCCTGTCTGCCCTCAGCTCAGCTCTGCTCAGCTCCTGTGAACCTGATTGTAACTCCACTAAAATCCACTCACTCTTTCTGAAAAGGAGGCATGAATGCTAAACTGGAGGTTAGCTTATGATGTAAAGTGTCACTAATTCCTAGTTAACAAGATATTTAAAAGCAGAGTTTTCACCAAAATTTCAGTGAACAATGAGATTGTGTTCTATCAGTGTGTTACAATGGTCATTGTATTCTTAGCTTTAATATCGTTGTATTTTTCTTGTGGGTGTTTTCACTACGAACTCTTGGTGAACACACACATTTATCCCACAATCAGTCTACATGAGGAATATTTTCTAAAAATAGCTATCCACAAAGACTAGACTGTAAATGGAACACAATAAATAGAACACCCAGCTTCATAAGAAAAGATATATGCTGTAGAACATGTTTATTTTTGCATAAAATCCCTTTAAGAGGGGTTATTTTTTACACTTGTGTACACCTCAGCGGTAATTATCCTATACTTAAAGAACTAAAAAATGTATAAAATGTTTGCATTAATATATTTGGGTCTTAGAAACCTATTCAATTTATCTATACAGCACTTATTAGAATGGAGACTATGGACTACAATAACAGTCAATGAGGTTTTGTCTTGATTGAATTTTTCAGTGGGACACAAAAGAACCTTGTCATTAAAATAGTCCTTTATTCTCCTGTATGAAGGCGAAAGGTTTTTAAAGTGTTGTGATGTTCAGTAATGAGCCTCTATCTAAATTATCATTGGTGACAAACTCACAAAGCACTTTTCGAGGACACATAGTTATGAAATGCCAGAGCTGCCACTTTCTTTCCTGTAATTATAGGCTAGCTTGCAGCCCTTCAATGATCATTTATAGAACAGCCTCCAGTGGATTACTGAGAACTTGAAAAACACATACATACCTCTGCCACATCTCCCTTCTCCCTTCGTTGCTATTGTTTACCAGTGATATGTAAAATAATAGTGCCTATTCATTCTCCCTACTTAATTATGCCAATCAAAGTGCAGACATAGTGTTGGATATAAATACAATGTACTGAGACTAAATAAATAGGCTGAATATTAATATTAAATGATGAATGTATGTATTTGTGACTGTTTTGTGCCCAAATTTATTCTCTTTTATGCTTTTATAACTATCTCAGGTACTACATATTGCTGTTCAAAAATTCTCTATGATTTATAAATCAAGAATGAGATAATACTGAAAAATGAGAGGATTGGTGGATTTTTCTCAGTCAGTGCCTAATTGCTGTTTCAAAATGCATATGCAAAGGGACATTTCATTAATCATTTAATCATGTCCCTTGCAGGAAGTTGGAACTAATGTTGCAAATACCCTTTTCATATGAATGCTCCATAATACTATCTTATGCATTTGATATATTGCCTATGTCATAAATTATAGCTGCTTCAAAATGACCAAGTGAGGTTGTTATCCCTGAAGATGCTTGTTACGAAACCTTTATTAAGTTTCTTTTTTCTTTTTTTTTTTTTTTTTTTTACTTATCGCTAGTTCTATTTCACAGCTTCATACTAGCCCACAATAATATGCTTTCTGATGGCAAAGGTCTGTAAATTACACATGCAATCACTAACACCATTTCACAGGCCTGTTCTACTTCTACTGGTCTGCTAACAAGACGATTACACACAAATTACTGAATATCTATGAAATATTTAAATGCATTCTACTCTACTATGCATTAATAAGAGCAAAGCAAGCGCTGGAATTCTGGTTAGCTCCAGTCCCTAATGTCCCCTAATGAGCTTCTTACCGAGACTGCAGTTCAAACACAGAGGTGAAGGAAAAATGCACAGGGTGCATTCAGAAAGGCAGCACTGAACAAACATTGTGTGAGCCAGCTCTAATTTATAGGTCACTTTATAGGTATATTGATTTTTGTTTTCAAAATGGAATAAACGATGTGGTCTACTGACGTTCTTTCAAAACGGCGTTGAATCTGTGTGCCAGGTGGGTAGTGGGGACGGAAAAAAAATGTAAGTAAGCAGTCAAATTCTTTCTAAAAACAGTGAAGCAAGCACTTCAGAAAGATGAAAAGTAGAAAAGGGCCCGTCCAGCGTAGTTAACGCACAATTCTCTTTAGCGAAGCTTTTAAGGTTATGAACGCATGTGGTAGCTTCGATTGTATGCACAGCCGATTAGCAATTCAATTTTAAACTCTAGATTTTTCAAATTCATTTGGAGTTATCATATTTTATAAGCTAAAAAGAGATCGGATTTAATCCAACTATGTTAGACTTTTTTTTTTTTTTTGTACAAAATGTTTCACTTGCAAATCACTGTGTTTGATTTATTTTGCATCAAGCTTTTTATGTTTAAACACTGACAGGAGTTTAAATACAAAATGTTAGCTGTCACTATTCATTTAGCTGATTATGTGAGATGCCTTAGTTTTGAGAGATGGGGGCACTGTCACCAAAAGAAACAACATTCTGACAAGTTCAAAGAATGCTTTCTTGAGGTCATAATTTTGTAGCCATGCTGCCTGGTCAAAGACAAAGACATAGACAATACACACTAAGCAGAAGCGCGATTTCTAGTCAGTTACCGGAGAAGGAGACAACATAGTTCCCATTTAGTAAACTATTTCCACCACCTCTTCTATTGTTCTTTGTGCAGTGTCAAGACTTAAAAATGTTGTCTTTGTAAATAAACCAGATTCATTTATTATCAGCTGATGACTCTTTAACAGATGGATATTTTTATGGCACTAACCAGCCTGCCCTTCTTCAAAGTGAGTCTGTCCATCTTTGTATCTCAGACCATGTTTTGTTTGCTGGCATCTACGCATTTGCAAGTTCAGGAGCACTTGTCTGCTACCTGAAATGCGATACTGCAAACCTTTTGGATTAAGATCTAGAAGTCAATCCATCTACATTCCAGCTGACTGAGGTCCAGAGGAATAATAAATCTGCAGCCTAACTACACAGGTTTTGTCAGTTGTTATTACACTTCGACATTAATAAGACAGTAATGAAGAACTAATATTAACTGGTTTTAGTAATCTAGTATAGTCTTCAGTTATTGGTCAGAAAAATGATAAGCTTCTGTCAACGTCTACTTTACAGAAAAATTCAAAAAATTTTCCTAAGTACCTATTTAGCCTAAATTTTCTTCTTCTTCTTTTATTTTCTGCTTTTATTTGGCTATTACAAATAAAAGTTTATAATTTAATCTTAAGGTTTTTTTATGCAATAGAAAATAATGTTTCAACTGAATACTTAATATTGAATATTAAAATCATGTATGTACATATATAACATACATATACACATATATGCACATAATCACATATGTACATATATATGTACACATATGTTTATACATGCAACTCTCTTCTGGTGACTTTTCATTCAATGCTGGGCAAAATCAGTGAGAGATTCTGCCAACTTGGGAAAGTAATGTAAAAAAGGGAATTTGGGATTCAATATAATTTATCTTATTATTTGTTATTTAACATGTAGGCCAAGTAGTAATAATGGATAGTTTACTTGATTTCAAACAATGAATAAGTTGTCTGACACCAAAGTAAAGTTCAAGCTATGTAGTTTATTTCTAGTGCATTTTAGAAATAAAAATGCCCCATTATTTTCTTTAAAAAAGTTTTATAAAAGCACTGGCTATAAAATTTCTAGAGAATGGATAAACAAGAAAACAGAGAGCTAAAAACCTTTCATAGCTTTCTCGTTTGTCTGACTTATTTTGTTCCAAGACTCAATTCTCTCCATGATTACAAAAGAAAAGCAAAATCTTCGTTTCAAGAAAATCTTTATTAGTGGTGATGCCTCTTCATTTCATCTTCCACAAAGTCATTAAATAAAGTGAAATTAATTTTAATAAAATTATTATTTATTTCTCTTATAATTTCACACACACTTTAAGAAAAAAGACAATATCAGTATGGAATTTGTCTTATTAATATTTCATTTCAGTACAGTACACTGGCATTAGCTCTATTAACAGAAATTATCACAGATCTGTGGTTTAGGGAATTTAAAGCATATAATAAAAAAAATGAACTAACAGAAAGGCCTTAAAATCTGCTGTCATTTGTTCTGTCATCCCTATAAATTTAATGGGTTGGAAAAATGGTCAGTCTTTGGAATCAAAGTTTATATTTAATTGAAAGAAAATGCTTTCCTACTTATAATTCTTCAGTCTAAAAAATACTAGCATGATTATAAAAAGAAACTTGAAGGGTAAAATGAGGGTTCCTATTCATCTTCTTATTAGTAATAAAATATAGATAAGCATTTAAGATAAATAAAAACTCTCCTTTCCATGTGCTATAAAGAAAATCATCCTGAAGAAAATATATGGTATTTTCTTAAAGATTTATTTTGAGTTTTGTCAGAAAGCATAACTTGAAGCAATAAAATGTATTGTGTCTGGGCTGATTCGATGGCTTAAATTACCATACTGAAGAAACAGCATTAATCCTGTAATTAACCTTAGTGATAATAAATAATATTGATAAGGACTAATATGCCCAAATGAAGAAATTAGTTCTTAAAAAATTAATATACCTATACTCTGTTTTTGTTTTAGCAAATGTTATTTTTCCAAGACAGGAAAACTTGAGCAAAGTTACCTAACATTTTAAATGCTTTTTGCTTAGATTAGAACACTCAAATCAGTTTCATAACCAACTAAATGACAGCTCACAACTATTTTGATACAATAGGAGTGCAAATATTCATTTCAGGACATTTAAAAAAGTCATAATATAGGAAGCATATTTTCATTAATGTGGTCAGTAATAAGAAGTGTTTTAAAAAAAATCCTTGTAGAAGTAATAAAGTTATATCAAGTATGTGTGCCTTGTTGCTAAGGTGCCTTTGCTCTATACCCTGTAGTCTGCCATTTGTAAACACATCTTTCTGATGTTTCTGCCAACATCCTGGCAAAATAGCAGTGCAATTTCAAATGAGCTAATTAACTTAATTGTTGATGAAGCATGAAACAGTTCATTCACCCTGTTAGCTGCTCCATGACAACATAAGAGTCAGCCTGTGAAGTTACTCATCTCCATAAATCTCTCTGCAGCTCTGGTTAGGACTCTTGTACACTGGACTTGTGCATGGAAAATAGTCACGGAAAAAAATGCATATTCTCATTTGAAAAAGAGCCTTTTAGAAAGTAAATGATAAATTGTCACTGTATGAAAAAATTAAAGATACTTCAAGTTTTAATTTTAAGCTAGAGAAGCCATACAAACTATCATACATACATACAGCCATGTATGTTTCTTTATGATGCTGGGGCAACAAGTGTCCATGTGGATAAAACATAAGTATCTTAAAATTTTAGCTTCTTTTGTAGGGTTTTTTTTTCTTTTCATTTTTATATGCATCTGTTAAATATACATCTTAAATATCATTATTTAAAGTAAGAAATATAAAGTTTGCAATTAAAAAATAAACTTATCAAGTGCTTATGTTTAAAATACACATATGTAATATGACTCCTTATATAGTTTTACTTGACATTTTTATTAAAAACTGAAATTTTAGTGAACCCTGCAAGCATATGTCCCAATTATTCATGATGCTGTTATAGTAAACTAATATTTTTTCATTCATTCAAAAACCTCTATTGGCCCTAGCAGGTTTTGCTCAGTGGATAGAGTGTTGACCTGCAGACTGAAGGGGCCATTCCAGTCAAGGTCTCAGACCTTGGTTGCAGGCTTCTCTCCAGCCCAGGCCCTGGTTTGGGTGTGTGCAGGAGACAACCAAGCAATGTCCCTCTCTGTCTTTCCCTCTCTCTAAAAATCAATGGAAAAGTATCATTGGGTGAGGATTAAAAAGAACAAAAAACAAAACAAGCAAACAAAGCTCTATTGAATGATTTGTACATTTTCTCATGCAAAGAAAAGATGAACAGTTAAACTTCTTCATCTGACTTTGCTAACCCACTTGTTGAAATAAAGAAAACTTAGCATCCCTCATGATATTATTTATCCCTCATAAATAATATATATATATTATTTATGTAAAACAATGTGCCTATCACCCCCATTAACCTACGTTCGCCCCTAAAAAAGGTTACACACATACTTTAAAAACTGTCCAAAATCTTCACAAATGCTTTCACAGCCGGGCCATTTGCAGACTCCATGGCCGTAGAGAGTGTGAGAGGCTCCAGTCTCCTCGTGCGACGAGCTGCAGCAAAGGAACATGCATCAGATTCACCTCCAAAAGCCATAATCGCTGCAGGCTGCGAGAGCCTGTCAGGTTACACCCAGTGACAAACAGGTCAAAACAGGCCAATTCAGCTCAGAGCACTCAGGAAAATTTAATCGTTCCACTGAATAGTTCAACTGCCAAGGCTAGATGATGTTCCAATTAGATGGGAAATAGAACCAAAGACAACTGTTAATAAAGGATGAAAAACCAAGAGGACTGCATAATATCATATGCTAATCCTGCCATACGACCTTACTGTAACATTTACCACTGAAGAAGTATATATATTTATTCATATGTGGTCAAGGGAAAAAAACCACCTGTATCTTTAAGAAAATAATAAGATTTTCAAAATGCTCTTTTTAAAAAAAGAGCATTAGATTTAAATTGTTCAGTATATACATTTGAACCATATATATATGTCTTCTAGTAACAGTTGATTTAAAAAATGCTCCTTTGATATATATTATATCAGATGGAGAGATCCTAGAGAAACCAACCAACTTCTGGAATATACAATCAACAAATTAATCTCAATTAAAACTAGTGTGAAAGCATTCTGAGGAATACCATTTTATATTAATGTAAGCTAACAAGAAAAAATGTTTCATGATACTCAAAAACATTGCCAAATGATAACATTCTATTTTAAACTTACTGTAATTAAATGTGTCTTTAAAAATATAATTTTATGAAAAAAAATATCTGTTGCAGGTAGTCAGATATTTGTATTACATTAAATAACACTATCGCCAAAACCGGTTTGGCTCAGTGGATAGAGCGTCGGCCTGCGGACTGAAAGGTCCCGGGTTCAATTCCGGTCAAGGGCATGTACCTTGGTTGCGGGCACATCCCCAGTAGAGGGTGTGCAAGAGGCAGCTGGTCGATGTTTCTCTCTCATCAATGTTTCTAACCCTCTATCCTTCTCAATTCCTCTCTGTGTAAAATCAATAAAATATATTTAAAAATAAATAAATAAATAAATAAATAAATAAATAAATAAATAAATAACATTATCATTCCACTACACTCAAATTTGAAAGCTAACTATCATAAATGCCTCAGACACTTTAAGAAATCTTCCACTTATGTTTCACCTTTTAAAAAGCTACTTTTCATGTTGAGAAATATTTTAGCTTACATGTGTCATGTAAATGACTTTAAAGGCCTTGAATAGGTATCCATATCCCTGGCTAAATGGAACTAAATGGACAAAATCGCATGGGTGCTCCTCCTACAAAGGCAGTCTTCATCCAAGGAAAGTAAAACAGTAACTTTAAAAATTATCTAACACAATGTACTCAACGTGGTAACTTCAATAAAATAATTTTAACTTATGAATTTTGAGTAAAACTTATTCAGAAAGTTATCAGCATAAGTTTATTTTTACATATTTTCCCCATCATCTATATCTATCTATCTATCTATCTATCTATCTATCTATCTATCTATCTAATCTGATGTCTAAGCTCATGTGTGAAACTGGTTAAGTTACAAAATGGTAAAATGTCCTGATGGAATTCAGGTTAATAACATCATCTTAGTAATAAAAGTACATCGACATGATAGTTCCACATGCACTTATTAAAAATAACTTTTTTTTTTCAGGTAAATGACCACTGTAGCCATAAAACTGCTAGTATTTAAACTGCTGTTTTGAAATAAAAAATAATACGCAAGATAAATAATCTAAAGATCTCCATTTAATTTGCTGTTTTATACATTTTCCCTTTGTTAGCACAAATCATAATTTTTAGTTTTAATTGACAGTGCAGGTGACGTTTGGTGAGAGATAACTATCAGACAAATCTCGTGAGGTTGTGAGGTTCACCTGTCTCGCCTTGTGTTCAGAACCGAAGACTGTCCATTCACGATGGAGTGATGGGTGATTGGGGGGGAGGCTTTGGAAGTGGTGGGGGAGGTAGTCAAGGAGGAGTTGTTAGTGGTGAGGTCTAGCCCTCCGTGTTTGATGCCATTGTCTTCCATGCTGTGAACTCCAGTCACTTCTTTCCATAACTGCTGAATCTCCGCAGGACTCAAGCCAGCTACAAAATGGAAACAAGAGCCACAAGGTAAAGTTCACCTAATGAGATTAGCGTTGTCTTTGGATTGATGTTAAGAATAAAAGTAATGCTACAGCATAATTAACATACACCAATAAATGACTTTACACCATTAGCAACACAGGTTTTTTCTTAAATAATCAGTTACTAGCATTGGCTAAAGACTACCAAGTTAGGAATAGTACTGAGAATAATAGTGTTCGGAATAATGCTAAAGATCTATAGAAAAAAATCCAGCAAATTCTATTTGAAGATTATTCAACTTCTACCAGAGTTTACTTATTGTTAGTTAATGTTAAGTTTTTATTAGTGAGGAAGTGAAAGAGAAACAGATTCATAAATAAGACAAATCAAAAGAAACAAATGAAAAGAAAAAATGATGTTATGAAGGATAACAAAAGTGTTAGAGAAAAACAGTAAGCACTAAGTTCAAAATAAAACTATATTTGACCATTATCATTTTGAAGTCCTGAATATGCTTATTACATGAATCAATTGAGAAGATAATATCTAAATGTCGCCTTTACTTTATAACTGGTAGAATAAATCCCTTACTTGTTGTAACAACTCCCTGGTTAAGATTATACAAACTAACTTATTTTATGAAGAATGAAAATATAAGACCAAGACACAATCTTTGCACTCGTTATCTATAATTTTCAAACAAGTAATTGAAACATTGTTGTTTGCAATATTTAACTTATAAAATAATACTTATACGTTCCAAGTACTGTGCTTTCACCTAGTCTATATGATCCTTTCTAGAGGCCCGGTGCACAATTCCGTGCATCAGTGGGGTCCCTCGCCTTGGCCTGTGGGGATCAGTGGACCTTCATGCCATTGAAAACCCACAAGCTGGTGGGTAAGGCTGGTGGGGCTCTAGCCCTCTGCACGAAGTAGTGCAGGAAGCAGCAGGCGGCCAGGGAGGCACCTGAGCCAGGGCTGGTGCTGCACAGCCCCTGCTCATCCCAGCCCCTCTGTGCCTGCCACCACTGCTGGGGTGCACGGGGAGTGTCTGCCAGAGAGGCTTGTGCCACAGCAGCTGCACTCGCCAGCTGTGAGTCCAGCATCTGATGCCCTTTTGTCAACTGAGTGGTGCTGCCCCTGTGGGAGCGCACTGACCACCAGGGGCAGCTCCTGCATTGAATGTCTGCCCCCTGGTGAACAGTGCGTGTCATAGCTGGTTGTCTGGTCGTCTGCTCACTTAGGCTTTTATATAGAGAGATGCTCTTTAATCCTCACTATAATCCAATGCACTTGATATTTTTTTCAAACATTTCTTCATTTAAATTTATTGGAGTGACTTTGTTTATCAAAATTATATAAGTTTCAAGTGTACAGTTCTATGATGCATCATGAGTGTTTTTTCATTATGTGTTTACCATCCAAAGTAAAATATCCTTCTGTCACCATATATTTGACTTCCTTTACCCTATTTATTCTTATTTTAACAAATTATGGATAAGGAAACAAAGTAGAAGCAAGGTTCAAAAACATATACAAAGTCACAAATCTTAAATGCGGTATAAGGTAGCCTAACTTGAATGTCTTTGCTCTTAAAATATTATATTAAATATATAAAAACTTCTGGGAAAAGGTAGTTATCTTTATAATTGCTATTGTTTATGGAATATCAACTGTATTCTTGTGCTTTACATTCATAATCATGATTAATCTCATTTAAAGTTAGAAATCATTACATTTTACAGATGAGGAGGTAGAGGCTTGTACCAATATGTTGCCTAAACCACTAAGTGACAGAATTTAAACCTAATGGCCTGTGGCTCCTAAATCTTTGTTCTTTTTTTTTTATTATGTTTATCTACAATGTCTAATAGAAAAATGGAAGTGCTAATTAAACCATTTCCCCACTCCCACAACCCAAAAAGCATGTACATTGATTGATACAGTGATGCTGAGTGACCAAGAGGTATGTGGGCACGATTGGGATGGGAAAGGTAGGGAAAGTGGAGAAAGATAACAGAATAAGATGGAGAGGAGAGTTAGTCCCCTGACCCCTTCCCCTGCAGGTGGAAGAACCATAAATCTAGACATAATGGTAAGTAGACCAAAGTAACACAAGGATTCTCATTGCTCCAGCCATAACTTCTGGTAAATTTCATGATGCTGAGTGACCAAAAGGTAGCAAATCTTAAATTATTTATGCCTATACTATGAGTTTTACTGAAAATTATTATTTTGGTGATTCTGGATCCTCGTGATTGAAAGAGTAAAGAAAAAATAAGATAATTCAGATTTCTAAAATTGTTAAAAAAATGTTTTCTTCTATAAAAAAGAATCCTGTATAATACAGAGATAATATGCAAATTGATCATCACTCCAACATACAAGATGGCTGCCCCAATGTGGAAACACGATGGCCACCACAAGATGGCCTGTGGAGGAGGGCAGTTGGGGGAGACCAGGCCTGCAGGGAATGGGAGTTGGGAGACCAGGCCTGCAGGGGAGGACAGTTAGGAGCGACCAGGCTGGCAGGGGAGGGCAGTTAAGGGTAATTGGGCCGGCAGGGGAGTACTTAGGTATCAATCAGGCTGGCAGGGGAGTGATTAGGGGATGATCAGGCTGGCAGGCAGAAGCAGTAAGGGGCAATCAGGCAGGCAGGCAGGCGAGCAGTTAGGAACCAGTAGTCCTGGATTGTGAGAGGCATGTCTGACTGCCCGATGGGATCGGACCTAAATGGGCATGCAGTTGGACATCACTCAAGGAGTCCCAGATTGGAGATGGTGTAGGTTGGGCAGAAGCAACCCTGCTAGTGGTTCTCAATCTGTGGGTCACAACTCACAAGTTGAGAACCACTGCTGTAGAGCCTACCATCGGAAAACACAGATATTTACATTACGATTCAACAGCAGCAAATGAAGCAGCAACAAAAATAATTTTATGGTTGGGGTCACCACAACATGAGGAGCTGTATTAAAGGGTCACAGTATAGAAAGGTTGAGAACCACTGACTTAGATGGTTCAGCATCGCTTCCTCTCAGAGATCATTGACCACACACTCAACCATTGCTGTTCTCCACCCTATTTTCTATCATTCTCTATGACCTTACCCTACCTATTTTTTAAAGGTTTATCAGTCTCTGAAACTATATTACTTTTATAAACTTACAGTGACCCGGTTCACGGATTTGTACAAGAATGGAAATTAATTAAAAGGTGGCCCGCAGGACAGGACTGGGTGAGACTGGCCAGACATGCCCTGTAGCCAACCTCCCATGGTCCCTCCCTCACATTGGGGTCCTTTCAGCAGGTGGGGTCCCTCAGTCTGGCTTTCAGGGATTGGGCTGGAACCAGCTCTCCGACATCCCCTGAGAGGCTTGGGAGTGCGAGAGGTTATCTGCAAAGTTGTTGACTATGTTTATGTGTCTGCAAACATAAGTGTGCAGTAAACTAGATTCGGCCTGACGGTGTCTCAGCAACAACCTAACCCACAGGTGAAGGTGAAATCACATAGCCCCATGAGGAATCAGGTTTCCTCCTCTCTGGTTTCAAGGTGCATCACCTGAGAACTGCTGCCAAGTCACTGCAGCTGGCAGCTCCTGCATTGAGTGTCTGCCCCCTGGTGGTCAGTGTGCATCATAGCCAACGGATGGTCAGACACTTAGCATATTAGCTATATATATAATCATTCTCCATCCCTTACAATTTAAGATGTATAGCAATAGGAATTTCTTATTTTACTGGCATATCCCCAGTGCCTAGCATGTGTTCAATAATCAGTTGTTGATATCATTGATTTTAACAAATTCACACACTTCTTGAAAACATCTTGGTTTCCACATGTAGGTTCTGTGGCTCTTAAAGGGCATACTGTTTATGAGCATTGCTCCTCTCTACGGCCAATGTCTAGTGAATTATAAATGATACCAGCTGATTCTAACAAATTAAGTAGCTAATTAAATTTCATATCTTGGCTAAAGAACTCTTAGATATTTTTAGAGACTATCTTAGTGAATGAATGATGTTATTAATAATTTTGTGTTTTGGATTTTATTAATAAGTTAGTTAACCTGAGTATCCATTTACTTTTAAAAACAGATTTCCATTATACTAGTCATTTGTATTGAAAATTAATGGGATGAGCATGATATCACAATGATATGGCAACCTATACCAAGCACATCAACATTTGATGAATAAATAACCATTCAGTATCCAAATAATGATTCTTAATTAAAAGGAGGAAATTGTTTTTAAACATTATAGATTGAAGGCAGAGAACAGATCATAAAAAAAGAGATTCCTGTTATCAGGAGTGGTTCCCAAAAGTATCTGCATATTAGAATCACCTGGGAATATTTAAAAACTTCCCAATTAAATCACAATTTCTAGTGGTAGGACCAAGGAACCAACAGTTTTGAAGTTGCAGAGATGATTCCAAAAAGTAAGTAATTTGAGAGGGAGGTTTTTAAAAGTAAACTGTCATACTGTTCATGAGACAAAGTTGTCACATCTACCATTTGCTTGGCTCTTTCCTATGATGACAAACTATGAAAATGGAACCACTATTCAATTTTGTACAATTTTGAAAGTTTGTGAGCTTTAAAGTTTTAATGATTTACAAGAAATAATTTAAGCTATTTTTTTTCCTATCAGTAATGCACAAGCTCAACAGTGCTCTGTAAGTGCTGTCAGTCTGAGAGGTTGGGCCTGTGGTCTCTGTGTGTCACACACTCAGTGTCCTGATTGGCGTTAGCATGTAAAGCAGTTCTGAGATGCCTAGGAACCAAGAACACTTGAGTCTCTTTTTTAAACTCAGTGTTTTACAAATATATTTGAGGAAAATAAAAAAAAAAAACTATGGAGCTCATTTATTTTAGTATTATATACCAGGCATAAGCTTAGGGTTCATTAAGTGATCTCCAGCCCAGGCCCCATTCTTAGATTGAAGGCTGCATTTTCATAACCTTAGCAAATATCTTAAAGCTTACAAGTTCAAAACGAAGCTGTTTATATAGCCC